CTTCTTTTAGACTCCTGACAATCTACTGAGTTTGCCTTGGAGTATTTAACCTACATGTGAAGTTTTGTTTAAATAGCTCATTCCTTGGCCTCCAGTCACTCTTCCCAGGTATAGGCTCTATATTTTATTAATCTTTTCAGAAATACATTTTGCACGTGTATTTATAGCTCATTTATAGTTCCTATTTATAGCTCCTTTAGGACCTTGTAAGGAAACCCTTGTGCTCCAGGAACTTTTGTGCAGGAGATACAACTTGTGTGTTGCAATATCCTTCTCTGGGGAAATGATACAACTAAATCACAAATTTCATGGCCTTGAGAAAGTTTAAAATATTGATCTCTGTGTGTGATTTGTTACAAATCTGAAATGATTTGCCTGTTTTATCTCCTTGGCTTTCTACACTCACTAAACAAGGGCCCCTAGCTCAGATGCATGAGAGTTCTTGAATACGGTCCACACTGCCAACTTGCTATATTCAAGTGATAGATGGAAGAAGACTGATGAAAACACCACCTTCATGAAATTTCTTAAATCTGTAATCTTCTCCATGTCCCTCCTGTTATGGTCATGCAAAGGAGACTCAGGTCTTTCATATGAGAGATTGGCAAGCCCGTAGCAAAGAGCTCGAGGGAATTTACACATGGAACAGCATCACATTTGTTCATGCTGATGAAAAACGTTACCCAATGAGTGTGATTCTTTTCTGTAAATTTTCCTTTCTCTATCATCCTCATGATCAGCCACTTTTTGTCTCAACTTTGCTTTTGTCATGCTTTTTCTACTTGTCTTCTTCCAACTCTTCATTTTTACTTTCACTGTTATGGAGAACCTAAAAATACAAGAAGGAATTTGATATTTGGTACTAGAGTGAGTGTCTTTTACTTTTGGACAGAAAGCAAGAAATCGATCTTTCCCTCTCTCATGAGTTCAATGTCTTAGTGCCAGAGGCGAGTGGCTGTCTGTGGACTATGGTCTCCAAGAGGAGGTTATTCTCTTGGTCAGCTGATGTTGATGCCATGGAGAGTCTTCAAAGGATCTTTAAAGAGGGAGCCCTGTGATAGGCAAGTGGTGCACAGGTCATTTCCCTTGAGGATGTTGTTCCTTGATTAGCTTAGTGGTGCGTAGAGGATCTCTAGGCAAAAAAACAGGCACATGATCTTGTCCATGTTCCTACTGTGCCTGGAAAATGCCAGTCCTCTGAGATGTGCTTTGGGTTGGATCCTGAGTTTTGAGAATGCTTTGTTGTCCTCACAGCCCTCATTTTCATCCTGGCCAGCTTTACCTCCTCTGGTAGCACACAGACACATTAAAAGACCATGTGCAAGAAATTGGGGACTGTTTTTTTACAGTCCCCAGAGACAGGCAGGATCACAGCAGTATGTTGGGACTAAATGCATTAACAATTTTGAGGTGTCAAGTTGCTTTATTAGAGCCATGAAAGTGTTGTAAGTAGAAAGATTGAATGCTCCTCCCTCTTCTCTTTTTTTTCTCTTTCTCTTTTCTCTTTTATTAGAGTTACAGTTATTATGCATTATACTTTTTTTTTTCCCCCCCCAGACTATGAGATATTTAGGGTTTGCTGCAAAATTGAATTCATGGAGACAATTGACTACACCTGACTGCAGAAAAGCCATTAGGAGCTGCAAATTAGTGTGAAGTAATTAATAGGCAAGGAAGATTAACGTGGAGAACAAGAACAGTTTTCACCAGGAGTAAATGCAAGGATATTCCTTTGGATACTTCTGCCACACATGTTACCTTGGACCTGTAGCTATTCCCTTCAGATGGGAATTAGATCCATACTGGTAGAGACAAAGCCCTACCTTTGATAGCTGAGGAGGTTGGTTTGTCCTAGCCCTCACCAAGGGGATTCTGCTGGGAACGGAATGGGGAAAATAACTGGGTACCTTGAAAGTGTTTTTAGTGATATACAATTAATGGTATGGAGCATAATGAATTTGATGTGTGGTTTGGTAATGCCGCCACCACAAGCTTGATGCTGCCTCCAGCATCCACAGTGTAATTAAGATTCACCCCCTCCCAGCCGTGGCACCACACGTGTGTCACCGCGGGGCATGCAAAATATTTACTGTGTCTTCACAGCCTCATGCTCCTTCTTGGGGAAACATAATATTTTGGCACTCGCTTTATGAAGTCGAATGTGTTTCATTTTTTATTAGACACAACTGGGTTTCACGTTCCCTTTTGCTCTTTCACAGCCTGGGCATGTGAAGGAGGTGGCTCCTCACTTAGCTTTCAGCACAGATGCTTTTCACTTTGCTTTCTGCTGCTGTTTCTAAATTGTCCTGCTTGTCTGCTTGAACCACGGAATCCTCCAGGAATAGTTAAAACCTCTCTGCTTGAGGTAGGGTAGGTCTAAATTGGAGCAGTGGTTGAAAACAACATCTATGCTTCTGTTTTCTTTCTTCTTTTTTATTTTTTATTTTTTTTTTAGTTTTAATTGAAAGCAGAAGAAAACCAGAGCTCCCAGCATGCTGCAACATGAGATAAAAAATCCATGGGCAGAGTTGGAAATTGTAAACCAGATACCATGCAGTTTTATCAGATAAGCATCACATTTTCGAGGTAATTGTCTGGAAATGTTGGCCAGAGGTTGCATCCACCTGCATCTTTCCCATTGAATTTGTGCTTGGTTGAGGCATGGGGTGTTGCGGCTTCCTCTGGTATGGATTTATGGATCAAGACCATAATTTGTCAAGGAGGAGTTCATCCCATAGGCTTCTTGTAGCTCACTAAAATAAATATCACTGTGCTGAGGCTTAAAAAGTTAAGTGCTTCCCTGTCTTTACAGTACAGTATGATCCTCACACATTGTCCTGTTTTGCCCATATGGTCCAGCTCTGGAGAGCAAACATAGCACAAGGTTTCTTTCCCCTACCATTACCTGGATGCTACAGTATAGGTGTGCCCTATCCCCACCTTGAAAACCACCTCATTGATGTCTTCTTTTAGACTTTTTTGGCATTTGAGGTGGCTCTTTAAAGGTTCCTGTGGAATGCTCTAACTCTGCAGGACTGTTGCCATGTAGGAGCCTATGGAGTTCCATTTCAAGAAGCTTTTACTTGGAGATTTTATTAAAATAGTGTCTCTTGTTGGGTGCTTATATTCAAGGACTTTTCAGAGTTTCCAACCCTGAGCTGTTTGATTGCATCATAGTTTATCCAAGGCGGGATTCAGTGAGGTCCACAATATCACTGAGCTAGAACAAAGGTTCGTCAAGACCAACTCAGTATTTCTAAAGATGATAGATGAGAAAGGAAAGGAAAGGAAAGGAAAGGAAAGGAAAGGAAAGGAAAGGAAAGGAAAGGAAAGGAAAGGAAAGGAAAGGAAAGGAAAGGAAAGGAAAGGAAAGGAAAGGAAAGGAAAGGACATTTAATAAAAGTTGTCTCATATTAGTCTCAAGTGAAGTTACTGGAGGATATTAAAAAAAAAAAAAAAAAAAAAAAAAAAAAGGCTTAGGCATTTTGACTAAACACTGTTTAATGCTCTGGCTTTGTGTGAAGCTGGGAGACTGATCCATGACCATATTTAGACCATATTTGTGCCTGGCCTGAAGCTGAATTATCTTGGGCAAATGTGCCTGCAAATAAGGTAATATCCACTGAGAGATCTTCCCCTGGGAGAAGCAGTGGAATATCCACCAGTGATGCCATTGGGATGTGGGGCTCATCTCCATGCTCTGGAGGACACATCCTCATCTCCAGTCTAAGCTTGGAGGAGTTTTCTTTTTGCTCAGTATTTTGGCCAGTATGTTTTCGTATTTTTTTTACCTTGCTCTGTTACTGACTTCCCACTGTCTCAAATGCACGTTAGGAGCGTGGTATTTAACAGCTTAGCGCGATCTGATCAGGGGAAGCAGAGTATCTTGCAGGCTCAGTATAATGACCCAAAAATACAACTCACAGTTTCTGTTAGAAATTCTGCAGCAGTTCATCACAAACGAGTGGACTGCTAATATTTATGGCTGTTTAAATATGCTGTAGTGTGTTGAGTGGACAAGCCCTATGGTTTAGACTTGGCCGGAGTTTGAATTAGGCCTGCTTCTGGGAAACCTGCAATGGGGAGGCAGAATGGGGTCAAACCCTGGGAAAATCCACTACCTCAATCAATTAATGTCTAAGAAGCATTTCAATGAAAGGGAGCGTGCAAGGGTGTTGTTCTGGATGCCAAATTGTGTCACTCTGAGATGTGGTGCTCATGTTTCAGGTCTCATTTGATGGTTTCTGGGGCTGGGGGATGTGTGGCTCAAAAGTCCATGCTTAAATCTCAGTTGCTTGGATGAGGTTTCTCCTTCATCCTCAGTCAACTCTTTTCAATTTTCTGAAAGAAGAAGCTAAGTTAAGGGGCATTTTAACTCATCATCGGTAATATTTGTGGCAAAATCTTTCTGTCAGTCAACTGATGTTTATGTACTGCCCTGAATGTAAAGGGTTAGACTTCTAGCTTAGCCTCAACCTGTCATTTTTTAACATCTTTCCTTCAGTAGCATAGGAATATGGTGCAACTGGGACCTTAAAGACCATCAGGAAAATCCTTCGAATTTGCTTGTTTTAGAGCAGGGACCGACACGTCATAAGTTTCCATTTCTCCTTGCTTCCTCATCCCTGCTGGGATCTCCATGGGGACAGCAAGCAGTTTTATTTTTTGCACAAGAATTTGGCTTTCCAGAGTAAAATCCGTATATACTCCACAAGTGCTCCACACCCGTGTTACTCATTGGTGTCTCCTTATGTGTGCTAGGACTGTGATGAGAAGGTGTTTTGCACCAGGAGATGCAGGCTGGTGTAGCCTCCTCACTGAGCTGACTGTGACAACCTGTAGTTGTTATTGCAACCACCAGTGTTTTAGATAATATTTAATTTTTCTAGATCAGCTCTTCTCTGCTGGGCATCCCCTTTCAGAGGCTGTGAAGCAAGCTCCTTGCAAAGTGCTAGCTGGTCTTAATAATTGATATATATTCTCCTTTTTTGTCTTTGCAGCCACCCAGATTGATCCCAGTGAACTACAGGAGCTTTTTCAGGAGACTTCAGCCAATGTCTTCCGAATTAACTCCAATGGTACGTATAATGAAGAGTTTCCTACTCAGTTGTGTGCTGTCCACCTGATGGCTTGTATGTGTGTACATGGTATATGCCAGCTCCAGGTCCTGTCTCCAAGGAGCAAATATTAATACTTTTTTTTTTCTCTGCAGCATATGTACAATACACAGTTCTATATGAGATGTAAAAATATTCCACCATATGTTGCATTAAACAGGCATAGATATATTCCAATCCTTGCCGAGACCACATCGTTTTCTATTTTTAATTGTGTCATCTGTTACAATAGGGAGTTAGAAATCAGAAAGGTGGAACAAGACAGACGCGTTTTCTAATGTGTTGCACAGCTACCGTGTTTGGAGCTTGTCATATGAGCTTGCAAAACATCTATCTCCCGTATAAAAACACCAACACCAAAACTCTTGCATTATTCTTCGCTCTATAGATTAAGTGGGGATGCTGTTTCTCCTCATGTCTCCTTGAACACTGCAGATACAGAGCGGGAGAATAACTCTTTCCATTGGAGATCTCGTTACGTACCTGGATCATCAAGTTTTGTAGGATTGAGCTGGAGGGCTCTATTTTGGAGGCAGATGTAGATTTACATTGCTGAGTGGTAGTTAATGTAATTGTATTCCAGTTCTAAAATACATTACAGCCAAAAAAATAATCAAAATTATGAGGTGTTGATGTTACAAAGGATCTTGAAATTGCTTCTGAATGGTCTGGGCAGCTTCTTTTTAACGTCTCATGTTTCTGTAGGCCTTTGGAAGGGATTGAACAAGAGAGAGGGCTTGGGGCTCATGTAGAGGGAGAGTCTTTATCTCCTTGCTATTGTAACCACTCAGCTTTCAAAGGTAGGGCCTTAGTCCCACAAGATACCTACAGTGAGAAGCTAAAGAGCTTCTCTATGGAGGCAGCTTCTCTGCCTCCATTTCTCTTCAGTACTTTATGAGAATATCAAGAGAAGTTTTAGGATTCACTGCTTCTGGAATGATGGTTTTCTGTGCCAAAAGAGCATGGTTGAGTGGTGGTCGGGAGTATTGATTCAGGTTCGTCTAGACCGTAATGGCTTTGGTCACTGTTTGCATGCTGTATTAGGTGTCTGTTTGAGTGTGAAAGCTTGGCTAGGAGAGCTGTAAACTATCCTCATGCCAATTGCTGTCTGATGATGAGAGTGAGTGCCAGGGAGTAAAAACCCTGTGTATTCATCCAGTGCCAGCAGCACTAGGCATTAAAAATAATCTGGGCAAAAGGGATAATGCAATTGCTAGAAGGATGGGAGCAAGACTTCTAAAATGTAGTTTACTGTTTTTTTTTGTTTTTTTTTTTTTTATTTTGCATGCTACAGAGTGGTAGGTTCAAGTTTGCATTTGACAAATACCAACTGGAGTCAGAACTTCAGGTTCTTCTGCAGCACAGATATATCTCTCAAGCATGGGGACCTCATTACTGCTTTCCACTATCCCACAAGGGGAAGAAAAGGTCCTGAAAGGAACTTTGGGTAGGCTTCATGAAGATGTTCCTTGGTGGGTACTGTTCAGCAACAAGCTGAACATGAATTACAGAGATCTTTTCTTCACTGGATGGGAAAATGTAGAGAAGGTGGAGCCAGACTTCTCTTAGACATGAACAGTGGAAGGATGAGAGACAATAGACATAATTTGTTACAAGGGAAAATCCTTCACAAAAAAGAAGCTGAGAAATTCTGTTACAGAAAGCCATCTTTGGGTAGTTTTGGCACTTAGTAATGATGAGATGGATGGTACTTAGAGTGCAGTACAACCCTGTGTTTCTAACGGTGGAGAAACTCCTTGAGAAAACTGCAGAGCTGTGACCTGGTCTGGTGGGTGCTGTGGGCAGCTGAGCCTCTCAGGTATGATCATCAATATTCAACTTTGCCTGTGGATGGGAACCTGACTTGTAATACATGGAAGTACTAGAATTAGCATTGATCTCTATTGATCCATCCCTGATAGTGATACCCTGTCAGGAGTGCTGTAGGCTTCTGGCGCTGAACGTGAAGCGAGGGCAGAGTGAAGTTTTGCAACCTGCTTGCAAGTTTGTGTTTATTAGTACTCTGTAAATAGGTTACTAGGGTAGCTAGGTTAAGATTGACTTGGTGAGCCCCAGTGCTGTAATCACAGTACCTTGCTGTCATGAGGTATATCCTGAAAAACTCTTAAGATGAGCAAGGCATCATTTTAAAGTTCTAAAATCCAGTTTCCATTTTTATTCTTTCTAATTGCAATAATCCAAATTCAGTTAGTTTTAGACTGATTTTTGGTGGTGTTGAGCTGGTTGTTTCCTGTTAGGTTGCCTATACTCAATTCTCTCTGAAAAAGGTAATGATGGTGCCTGCACTTAAACTATTTTGTAAAAGCAGAGAGGGTACAGAGAAAAGCTATCACAACTGTTTGAAGTCTGCAAATCAGACTTTAAAATGCATACCATGCGGTCTTCTATGTGAGACATCTAAGAGGACTTGATCACGGTCCATAAGTACATCTGGGGAAAGAAAAACATCAAATAGATAGTGTAGGGCTCATTAATCTAACATTCTCACGCATAACGAGATCAGGAGATAGGAGGCAAAGCTAGACAAATTCAATCTTTCGGTATGAGGATAACTGGCCATTAGAAGTGCTTGCTGATGAGACGTGATGGATTTGGCATTGCTTGGAAAGTTAAATCAAGATTTGGATGTCTTTTTATAGGATGTACTTTAGTCCTTCTCCAGTCTGCGGTCTTGATGTACGAGTGACGGGACAAATTTTTTGCTGGGAAATCAGATTGGATAATCAGAATTGCTGTCTCTGGCCTTTAAAACCTATGAATCTATGAATTTATAATGCTTTTTAAAGTGCTTTTAGGTTGAAGAAATGCCCATAAGATACTGTACTGTTGTTGCACTGCTCACCACCCATATTATTTTTTGTCTGCTAAAGTCAGTTTGATTCACTGAGCTTGTGGGTGTCTTCTTTATAGTAATCTTCTCCCAAAATGGTGACAACTTTGTCCGGGGAGGGAATGCTGAATATTGTGTCAAGATCTCACACAGCTAGTACCTATTAGGTAAGGGGGCTGATACGGTTATGAAACGGAAGAGAAGTCCATGATCCCATCTGTGCCTTGTGTAAAGGCACGGGTGCCTTATGTGCCTTCAGTAAACCCTACAAGCTCCATCCAGGAGCACGTAGCAAAAATCAGTGCTATCACTAATGGAAGACCAATTGGTTATGGAGCAAGCATCAGAGCTTCTGTGTTGCAGATACCCATCAGATGATAGAGCACTCCTCTTGCACTGGGCTTCCTGTGCTTCAACACTATAGTACATTGAATCACAGCTCCCCTTTGCCTTCTTTTCCTGCCTCACCTTGGCCTCTTTAGAGATTTCCAGGCTCCTCACTGCTTTTGGAGATCGAACTGTGGAGCTGAAGTGTTCTGCTAAGCTCCAAGAACCTGAAGTGCGTTGAGTGCACCCCTACCAGGCCCCTGTTGTTTGAACACCCAACACTCAAAGTGCCAGAGAATGGGCAGTCTCAGCTATATTTTTTTCCTATCTTTTTGGAAAATGTACCTTTAACGAAACAAGAAGACAACTTTATACCAGGATTTTAAAGCACTGTTGGCTTTTATTGAGTAGTGCTGCAGAAGTAATAAACACTGCATGCTTTGTCCCTCTCTACCTTGTTTCTTCTTTTGGCAGAAGTTTGATCCTTTGGGGTGATTTAAGTTCTTCTTCAGTTCAGGACTTGCTTTATGAACAGAGAGGATCTTTGCAGTTTGGAGCTTGCTTTGGCTGATCTTGAATATAAATGCTCCTGCTCCATTTTTCTGCTATGGGAATGAGCATCTTCCCCGCATGTTGAACAAAAACCTTAGTCCCCTGTTCTTTGTGCATACTAGTGGATCACTGTCCAGATGGGTCATGAGCTCAGGGCCTTTTTTTTTCAATCCCATCACTTTCAGAAGTATAAAGGCTAGAAAGGGCTCTTTCTGAAGGTTTGGCATTCTGTTTAAGAGTATGTCTTTTAGCTGTCTCAGTAAATATCTATCAATAAGTAAAATAAATAGTATTTAGTATTTAGCACTTATAAAAAAGAGTTGTTTTGGTGCATTATGCAAGGCTTATCACTGGAGATTATATTGGAGTAATCAGACCTATTCTGGCCAGATGGAGAACCTGAATGCTCTAATGGGTCTCTTCTCTCTTTACTTCCTTTTATTTGCTTATTAATGACTCCACACAGAGAGCTGGTGTCATGTGTAATCCCATTACCTTGATCTCAGGGGCTGAGCCAAGGATTTTTCATCATCCCATAGACATGATAAAGTTGTCATTGCTATCTCAGCATGGTTTCTCATCCCCTATCGATTTTAAGGATTGCAGCACCATGGAAGGTGGTTGGTGCCGAGCTCTCAGTGTATGTAAGCTGGTGCCATTCCAACAGCATACCTCATCCTGGAGCACTACCCTACCACCTTTTAAATATTATTTGCATAAGGCTTTTTTAAGTGACACATCTGGGTTTTAACACTGTCCTACATCTCCATAGCACAGCTGGATGTATTGCTGCTGTGCGAGAGTTACTACTTGAACTGTCAGAACTGGTATACGATCTATTGAGAGGGATTTTCCATGTCCATCACAGAAACTGTGCTGAGCTCTTCTTGGTCCATCCCAAAATAGGAGAGAGCTAAGTTGCCCTTAGGTCCAGAAGACCTGTGTTTGATTTTCAGTTTACCGTGTCCCATGTGAAACCCATGTCAAATGTCAACCCAATTGCCCCAGAGTCTGTATCTCTCAGCTTGTCCTATAGGAAACCCTGACCTTTATATAAGAATGTCAATATTGAGTTTGAATTGCAATATTAGATACAATTTTAGGATGGGACTTGATCCTAAGTCAATGTCTGCCCTGACTGACAAACTCTCTGCTCTACTCTTTCATCTGTGTCACAGATTCTTCTGTGTGTTTTTATTGTCCAAAATATTAACTAAGTATGAAAGCTCTTGAATTTGTCCTCGTGTGAAGTCATGTGTATTTAAAGTCTTGGGAAATTTTGTGTAATAGGAAAACTTCTTGCTACTCTCTTCTACTCCGAAGCATACAATAGCAAAGATTTGTCCTTATTGCAAAGAAATGCCTGCCTATCCAATCTCTGTCTTCCGTCAAGCTCTCGTGTTTGCATGTAGGGAGACCTTGGCAGAAAAGCCATTTCACTTTGAATTGTCTTATTTTTGAGGCTCAGATCAGGAGGGTGTCCGAATCCTATTGCGACTTCCTTGAATTGCACATGTGAGAACTAATGCATCCTGAGAAATTCAGTATTTACACAAGTGCAGTCACTACTTTGCATTCACTGTTCTCTGAGTTCTCTGCAGTGCATTGAAGGCTCATCGGTCCCAAAATATTTTTAGAAGATACCTAGCTTTGCCTTTGAAATGGGCAACATATAGGTTGCATTGGGGATTGATTTGTAGAACCCAAATTTGTAGAGAAGGGTATATTATTATAACATCTGTGAAATCTCTGCAAGATCAATGCTGTCCTCATAGAAAATGGATATTAGTGAAAACTCTCAATCTATTATTTAGAAACACTCTGCATTCAGCAAAAAACAGTAATTATTAGCTCAGTTATAGATAGTTCTTTGAAGCTTTGTCATAAAGAGTCGCCAACTGCTACACTGAAATCTACTGTTGAGATCTACCATGAAGGTGAAAATACACAGTGATTTTCAAGCTTCTTTTGAATATTCATGTTGTCTAGGCACATAATTACAATTTTTGCTTTTGGTAGTTTTTGCTGTCAACCTATAGAAGCCCAAAAGAGAAGAGCAGATTCAGTTTTGTTTCTCAGTAGAAAAAAATAGTTAAGCGACTTGTTCAAAGTTGCAGACTGAGTTGCAGGGCTTAGAGTCATTAAAATAAAGGATTTATTAAATTTCCAGTGAAATAATTAAGCTGTGTAACTACTCTGTTCTTTTTCCTTCCTTAAATATTGAAGCATGACTGGTAATGGGTTATGAGTTTTTATAACTGGAAACATCCTGAGAAATTTCCAAATGTAAATAATGGGAAAGTAATTCATTTAGCATCTTTCATTGTGGAAGATCTTGAAATGCTTTGCATGCTCGATATGCTAAGTACAAAAGTAATAACCTGCTATTAATTTGAGAGTGAAATTGAGACGGTGAACACTTAAGGGTGTAAAAAGGGTAAATTTTATGGATAGCTTAAATAATAGCCAGCATAAGGGCCATATTACACTTTTGATTTACAAGACTCCCACTGTTAACTTTTTAAACTGTTGCACTGATTTTTCTTAAGTCATGGTACATTATTACATGATTCCAGCCACACTAATGGATCACTTTTAGAGCTGAATGTTCCCCTCTCCTAGTACAAAAGCATAAGCAGCTCTATGGCTTGGACACACCATGTAATCACAGTAGAGCACTTTTTTTGGCAAATCTGAGCCAAAACCTAGGAATGTATCAAAGTTTGGATAATAGAGCACAAAAGTATGAAGATGGAAGAGTTCAACCTCTTAATTGTTGACCTGAGCAATTAATGGTTCTTTAATGCAATTTCTTGACTCTCCAGTTAGGCCATGCATCCAGCCAGATGTGCTCCATGCAAAGGTCCATAGGTCCTGAGGGATGGATCTTCCCACTCCTAAAGCTACCCAGGTCTCCTCGCCCAAAGCCTCCAGCCCTGAGAATACTGGCTCTTAATGTTGTTCTAACATTAAGAGTTAGAAAATTTGGGGATAGTGGAGTCAGAAATCCAGGCATTGGTAGTGTTGACCGTTATGGACAATTGCAGGGATGTTTGAAGTTATTACTGAAAGAGCAGGAAGGAGTGAACACTTCCTGGTGTGTAGGAAAGTGTAGGGATTTGTGCATCTTCACAAGGAGCTCTCTGTACCCAAGAGAATGTCAAGAAGAGGCTCACTAGGAAATATAACCACTAAGTTAATTTCAAGGAAAGTGAATTAGAAAAGAACAAGAGGAGAAATCCAATATTTTTTTCTCTGAACAACTGTACTACTTCTTTATCTTTTCTTTCTGTCTTGTTGACAGTGACCTCCTTGGAAAGAAGCCTTAGATCTCTGGGGACCTCAAATGATACTCAAGAGCTACAGGATGGACTGTGAGTCTGTTTTGAACCGTTACAGTTCTCTCTTTGTTCCAGACTTTTCATTTGTAACTCATCTACCCTCACTCTTTTGTCTGTCTTTCTTGCAACCAGACACCTTTTTTTATCAGTTTATTTCATTTGCTTCCTTTTTATTGCCCATGATTAATGATGGTAGGACATGTATTCATCGTATAAAGATTTGCCAGTACTGGTTCTGGAGGCAGAGAATGGTAGGTAGATCACAGAAAATGATGGACCACAATAACCACAATGAAAGAGGGATTTTTTTTTTTTTTTTTTTTTTTTTTTTTTTTCCCCCCCCACCTCTTTGTTAAAGACAGTGAATCTAAGAAGAGAAAAGAGAGGTGGAGCAGGAAGATAAAAAGGCTGTTTTATAGCTGTAAAACCACATGTTGTAGCATTGAAACCTGCATCACAGCATCACACAACATGACACAGAGAAGATGAAAGATTCACTTGCAATATTGTGCAGTTCATTAAATTCTCATCTGCATGCATGTATACACAAACACACACAATTAGTTTTCATTGTATGCATGCTAATTACAGAATTAAAATAGCTTTTTTTTTCCAAATGCAGCACAATTTATTAAAGCTGCTTCTCTTAATGTAGCCTACATACAAAAAGCAAATACTTAGGACCTGATTCTGATTTTGTGTGTGTAACTGCAACTCCTACTGAGGTAAGGCTGCAAACAAGGGGAAAAATTTGATTTCTATTTCTTTTCAACATGATTTGGTCTCCTGAGGAAGAAGTCCCATGTTTCCTCAGATTTTGCACTTCCAAGATTTTCAAAGTAGGTGTTCTTACTACAACATGCCCATTGCATTTAGGAAAAAAAAAAAAAAAAAAAAAAAGGTAGTTTTATACTTCATAAACGTAAAAAGAAAAGTAGTTTTATACTTCATAAACATGCCTGATGGACTTGGATGGCTTTTCTAGATGCAGTTTAGTCTCTCAGACTAGTTTGTGGCCTCCTTCTTTCTCTCCCCAATCTATTGCATTCATTTGTGCATCAGATCTGCTCCAATTTCCTAATGCACTGTTTCACAAACTTCAAGATTTAAAAAAACAGCAATAATAATAGTCAGAAGATTTGGAACTAAATTTGGGAGGCTGAAGAGGATGTCAGAGTAAGAAGTCAGCCTGTGTAGACCAATGTAACTGAGAAAAAATGTTTACATGCACAAAATTATCTGCAGCATAAACCACCCTGGTAACTACTGGAAATCCCTAACTCAGACAGGCCTTTTTATCACCTACGGCAACTCTTGTGCTTGTACTCCCAAAATATTATTCATTTTATTCAAGAATCAATTCCCTGACTCTTCAGAGCACTTATAAAAACATGTGTAGGTAATTTTCTTCTTTCCTGAGCAATTACATAAGTAGATGCATAATGCAGTAATTGCAATAATTATTTTTGATCTCAGAATTACTATTAATTGTCCAGGTAGCTGAACATAGCTTTTATTATTATTGTTATTTTAAGCATGCTTCCCTGCCCCCCATCATCCATAATATGCAAGACATTGAATGTGCATCACTGCCCATCTCTCATAAGAGATGTACTAGGCAAACCACCCCAGATTGTGAAAGCCAACAGTGCTCCCTACATCTGTTTATGGGGCAGTGTTTTCTGCTTTTCCAGTTTGCAAATCACGGTTTAAGCTCTTGACTCTTTGCTACTTGACCACCTTACTTCAAGGGCTGGTGCATTATTCTCCTTGACCATCCTCTAACTTGGAAGATGACCAGAGAGCAACATATGAACATTTGGTATGTTCGTAGCCTCGGCTGTTAAAAACACTATGTTTGAGGATATCTAAATAGTAAAATTTGCACATTTCAGTTTCCCGTTAACTGGGTGACTTGGCAGATAGGGCTGTGACCTTCTCTGAAATAGCATAATTCCCTTCGAGAGCTGAGAGCAGAATAAGGACTTTGTTTGTGGTAGGTGAATTCAGGATAGTTCATCGAAAGAGCAAATCCAGAAAAAAAAATATAAGAGCCAGCAGTAATCCACATGAATATTTTAGGCATGCATGGAGCAGAGTGAATAATTGTCATCTAAACTCTACGTAGAGCCAGCTCAGATACCTACATACTATGAGCTTGGAGCTGGAAGTGCCAGAAAATGAAATGTAGGTGCTTATAAGAAACTCTAGGTGGAGTTGGCTGAATGCAGCTAACTTGTATTAATTGGGAAAAAAAGGAGGAACTAGAGGAAGAGAGATGCAGTAGAGCTGGGGAGTTTAGTCTGGTAGACCAAGACTGTGATAGCTTTCTCTAGTGATGCTTGACTACAAATAGTGGTTTCATGACTTCAGGCTTTGAAGGTAGTTAGCAGTTAATTTAGGCAGCTATGGTTAATTGCCCAGATAAATCAGTCTCTGCAAAAGAGAAAGTGAAAGCCACCTTCTGTTCTTTAGTAGAAGGTAACCTCAGGAAAAAAAAAAAAAAAAAAAAAAAAGCTGAAAATGAAAACATCTCTGTAGCCTGGGCAATGCTCTCTGAAGAATGTGATACTGTGATACAGTTCCCTATGAACACTTCCTTCTCATATTTATTTGTTATGGATAAAACATACTGTGGCTGGTGGAAGTCTGAATGCAGAAAGGAAGTCTGAATGCAGTGGCATGGGTCCAACCATTCCATTTTAGAAGAAAAATGTAGTCATCCCAGATTACAAGTAGTATTTAAGGGCTCTGATGATACCTCAAAGCCATGACACTGAGCTGCAAGTGGTGGGAAGAGTTCGAGATTCCCTTTTCATTTCCACTGGAGTCTGACTGACCTGGGCTGCTATTCTTACTCTCCAAATAAGCCTTCTTGAATTGCCCAGCCATGCAAGTGTGTCTCCTCATGTGTAGCCTTAGCTTAGTTTATACCAGGTGCAAAGGGGTCAAGAACAGTACTGTATTCTGTTACAGTACTAGCTCAGTAATCGCTTTGCGTGTAGGCAAAAAATCTCATGATTTTTTTACGCCAAAGTGGATTTGAATCTTTTAGCAGTCAATAGCAGAAAAATTTGCTTGTTGAGAGATGGGTTGTGAGAAGCCTAATGTAGAAACTTTTAGCACCATGGAGAGTTTTGACTATGTTGTTCCCACAAAATACATTGGTTTCTCCTGCTTTGAAGGAAAACCTACGTTTTGGCATCCACTTCCCTTCCTCATCATGGACATGATTTCAACACTTGTGTGTTTTAATAGGTGTATTTTTTTCTTTTTTTTTTCTGCAATTGAGAGAGAGCTCAGCTCTGCATCTGTGCACTGTGTGAAAATAAGCCTCTTTTTTCTTGCAGAAGTTATCTGACACTAGTCACATCTCTATTGTAACTCTCTTCTGTTTCCTTGGGGAAACAAACAAACAAACAAACAAACAAACAAATAAAGACATCCTCACACAGCAAGATCATTGTAGGAGAACTCAGAAGCACACAGATATTTCTGTATTTGAATTCTGGCTAAAGTGGTGCACAGCAGGGATGTCCTATGGCCATAATCTCACTGTCACATATAAGCAGTAATAGCAAATAGATAGCTGTGAAGTGATCACTCTCTGCAGAACACTGATGAGGTGCATGCTTTTTGATGTATAATACTTTAATGATTTTATTAGGGCTGTGCAGCAGAGCTGATTATGATGCAGCACTAAAAGAGCGCTTTCAAAGTCTTTCCAGCACAGGAAGCTCAGCTTGAGATCTGAGCTGCTCAGGGATGAAACGAAGGCGATAGTCCTGAAAGAAGCAAAAAGTGCAGCTATTGGATTGGTGTTTGGGTTTGGCTTTTGGCCAAACAAAAACCTTAAAAAACCTTAAAAGGTACCTTTATTTATTTATTTATTTATTTATTTATTTATTTATTTATTTTTCCCCTGGGAGTTGCAAACTGTGCCAAAGTTCATGGATGGAGTTCACATATTCTTTCCTATGATTAAATATATATATATTTTTCCTCACTTTTCCCCAAGAAATTTGCAACATTATCAGAAGAATTCTCAGATGAGTAAAACCACTCCATCAATTCAATTTACCACAATCCTGAGTCAAAGAAGACCCATGGTAAAGTCCATAAGAGAGATATATGGGAAGTGCTCTTCAGAGAAGAAGCATCTCTGTTCCAGCCTGAAACCTGTCTAAGCAACAAAATTTGATTAATGAATAAAAGCAAGTTTGCTTGGGTTCATCCTTTCGCTGATGGTCCACTGGACTTGTAGAGGTGCTTACAAAACATCTTGACATTCAGGACATATGTGTTAAGTCTAAGAAAAGTTGGATCCATCTGTGGCTTTTGCTTGACAAAGGCCATTTGTGTCATCTTCTTTATGGATAAGGCGCCTCCAGATAGGTGTCTATGTGATCTCAGTCATTGGTGTCTACTCACCCTAACCTGGTCCACTGGCATACTCGTAAGGCAATAGAGATGCCCTAGGGTGGGAGACACCCATGTAGGGTGTCAAATGGAGAGCAATTCTGTGGCTAGTTCTGCCACTCCCCAGGGTAACTCACTAACGAAGTTTTCAGATTCTTCACTATGAACTGATATAAAAGCAAAAAGCATCAACACCATTGGCTTTCTCTGGAGTTGTGGGTGACCCTTAGCTGGATTGAAATACCTTTTGGGGATGTTCATCTTTCTGGACGTGTGTTCCAGGGGCTGAACTGTTGGTCTTGCAGTGAAGAGCCTCAGATGCTTTCATGAATTGTCTTAAAATAATAGCTTTTTTTTTTTGTCTTTTTTTTTTCTTTCTGCATTTGATCAGTTCTGCCTATTGTATCTTTTTTTTTTATTTCTTACCCTTAGGTTTGATAATTTGTTGGGATAGCTCAGAAAATAAATGATTTATAGAAAACATAGCTCCTGCTAGGATGTTCTTAATTCCTGTGGAATGCAGATTCATCTAAAGTAGAAAGATGTTTTAAAGTAATAATTTGCTGAAAGAAGATTTTTTTAAAGTATATCAGACAGAAGCTTTTAAGTGTCAG